CTGTCGGCCCTGCTTATCTCTCTCCGCCCGACCTATGGCTCCGTTCTGAGCCGATTTTAGCCTTCTGCGGAGCTCTTGGTAGGCGGGATTTTTTCGTGTCCTGCTTAAGGCAGGGCATATAAGTAATTTTTACCAATCTATATTTTATCAAAGATAAAAGGTCGGTTTTTCGACTCCAAATGCATTGCCATAGGGAGCAAAAATAGGAAACCGAAAGGCCGGCATTTTGACGTGACCAAAATATTTCGCGATTATGGTAGACCAAATCTAAATTTTAAGACTGTTTAGATTTATTTCGCCAACCACATCTGATCTTCCCAAGACAAATAGCATCAGAAGAAGGAGATGTGACCACTGGAACAAGAGTTTTATTATTCTGATGTTTCTGATTCCGTCGGGAAACCTTAATCATGGGTAATGGTACAATATTCTGAGTCATGCGCAGCTAGAGGCAGCGTGTTTGAAGCAGTCGGGGGGGGGCGTGTGCACACTCAGACAACAATTGGTCACACACAAGTCTGTCTGACATAGACATGGCCAGGTTGTTCATAGTGGTTTGTTCAAGGTGGTTATTCAGCATAAAATCAAGTCTTTTTGCATGGAAGGATTCCTCTTTGCCTTGTGCCAATTTCTTCTGATAATTGCATAAGTATTTTCTCTATAGAATTAAGACCTGGGCTGTCGGCCGGGATAAAAAAGATTGCAGGTCGCACGCGGAGAGGCCGGCTTTTGTCTAAAAAGTTAAATTACAGCTGTACATATTATTAAATTCATACCATCTTGTGCACATTTAGAGAAGTTTCCTTCCGTCAGATTCCTCTGTTATTAGTTTGAGGGTTCGATTACGACGAGGTTCAGATCACTCTTGAAATGCTGGTTAACACTTTAAGTGTCTTCAAGCGATTGATAAATACCAATGCAAATTGGAGCCGCTAAGTAACGCTCGCACCAGTTGAATTTGCATTTTTAGCATTTTTTGAAAATTCCATTATACATTTGCTCACGTCTGACGCTGAACTGAGGAAACAGTGTCGATAATTTATCCATTTATGTTAATTTGTTTTCCAAAGAACGTATTTCCCTTCAAAGTTTCTGTGTGTCAAGAGGAATTTTCCTACATAACGTGGATTCTTTGGAGATATGAGACTCCGCCGAGTTTTAGACTGTGTTCTGTTTTCAACTGGATATCCAAAATAGTAGGTTCTTGGAAGTTTTATCAAATCGGCAAGGCAGAGTATTTTTCTGGCTTTTTTGGAAGTAGTGGGAGCATAAGCATTCCTTATTAGGCAGATGGCCGTTTGGATCCCACCTGAAGAGCCCTCCAGGCGTGAAATGGCATTGTCAAGCAAAATGAATGCACACAACCAAATATACTCTTGTTTGGTAAAATAACCGTTTTTAGTACGTCGCGTTTTAAAAGGCAGTTTAATTCGGTATTGCGCTGACGGATGCCTACCAAGTTTACGTTTTTCTAGGGCAAGGTCAATAAAGTATTAGCATTTTTGGTCGACCTTTTTACTTCCCTGAAAAACACCGATAACGTATCTAGTGCAATGGAACGAACTCACTTTTTTTCTTTATATTGCAGCATTTTTCGCCATATTTATTTACTTTTAGACCCTTTTCCACTTTATACACGCACAGAGGATGGGCTCTAGGAATCCTGACATATTTCTTAAATTGTTACAGCTCTGTCTGTTGCGTTTCCAACATGCGTATTTGCAGAAACTAGATCCCACTACAGTATCTCACCAAATGTTTAAAGATTCAAATGACCATTCAATGATAGACCCTAGATGCGTTACTTATGGTGTATTCGCAAAGATTAGGACGACATCGGTGCAATTAAACGATGGTTTCCTTTAGGCGTTATTACTGCATTTTAGGGCATTTTCCGGTGCGAAGTTAAAAATCAAACCTTTTTAAAATCGATAAAATATCAGTCTTGGAAAAAATGGTTGTTCACATCCTGCTTCACATGATTTACGCAAAACGAACAACCATTTTTCAATTCAACAAGTTGTTTAAGTAGAAAGTTTGATAACTAAATGCATGTGGTGTGCGCCAACAGCTAGTACCTTCCAAACTTGTCCGAACATAAAGTGACGTGGATTGCCATTCAACTTTGTAGATATTTTGTTTGATACAATTACTCTATCGAATATTCTACACGAAATGGACTCATTTGTTGGAAACGACTAAACGAGTTAACCAATCTGGGCAACGTTTAGGCGTCTAAAATGAACACCTCGATTAACATCATAGCGTATCACGAGTTAGTCACATACTTGAACATCGTCGAACTCCATGGCAATCTATCGCACATTATATACTTTCTTCCTGTGAATAAAAACGCTACGAATCCAATCTATAGGTACCATTTTTCATGATTGAATGGATTTCGCCTCCTACGTCCAGAGTAGAGTACGTATGTAATATGCGTGAAGATTCGAGGTCCAGATATCTTATTTTGTTCAGTATCACCCAAAGAAGACGACGAAGAAGAGCCAAGTTCATGGACTGAACTGTCTTAACACTGGCGTTTTGGAAACATTTTCGGTTCCATCGTCAGGGTAACGTGCCTCTTCTTCTTGCTAGCTGTGACTGTTTCTGTATGGATGCTTGCCTGGTATTACATCCATACTCGACGCATGAAATTTGACCTGCCTGTTCGCCGCGGATTTGTGTTGATCTCTCCGAGATTGACCGCTGGTGGATGCACATGACATTTGCCCCTCTACGGTCGTTGTAACGGTTGGCTTCCTGGTTGGCTTCGTAAGTGGGCTTCCTGGCCTGCCCCTCGTCAG